ATGCAGACACCAAGGGCACCGCCAGCCGATGGAAAAGCATCATATGTGACTCTTCCAAAATTCTATCCTGACATCGCTGGAGCGGATGCTTCCTCTTGGTGTTCAACAGTTGATCTAATTTTTGCGGATAACGTGCTCGAGGGTAGCAACCTGGTGATCGCCCTAAGCAAGGCACTAGAAGGCTGCGCATCGCATCACAGTGGCTTTCCCAAATTTGTTTTGCCGGCATCACTTGGGAGCAGTTCAAGGAGCTGTTTATACAACGCTTTGTTGGAATTGAGACTCCTGCCGCCATGCTATTAAATGTTCTGAATGGTCGACCAAAGCCGGAGGAGGGCTTCGCCGAATACGGCAGCCGTATTGTGACGCTACTTATGCCAAAATGGAAAACCACGGATTTGGAAGAAATAGCGGTATCCGTGACTCTGGCTCACATGGCGCAAATAGACAACAAGTTGACGCGCTGGGTTTTTACAAACAACGTGAAAACTCGCAATGAGCTACAACAACAGTTACACGCACACTCTTTCAAAAAGCGCAGTATGGACGACGATTCAACAGGCTCGGAGCGCAAGAAGTTCAAGTTTCCGACACCGATGAAATGCAATTATTGTGGAAAGGCTGGCCATAATTACGCCGAATGTCGTGCTCGCTTGGAGAAGGGCCAGAGCCAAGGCAAAATCTACAGCGGCATCAACATGACTGGACCGAAGGATCGCTCAAATGTTAAGTGCTTTAAGTGTGACGAAATAGGACATTTTGCATCTGCTTGTCCAAAAGGCCGAACGTATGAGAAGCGGGTAGATATCTGCACAGTAGCTCCACCATCTGGAATAATAAGGGCATCCGGTGAGTCTATTCCATTTTGCTTTGCTTCGGGTGCTGAATGCTCTTTAGTGAAGGAAAGCGCCGTGGATAAATTTAAGGGAAAAAGAATAAATAACATTGTAAAACTTAACGGTATAGGTAATGATGCCATTTTTAGTACTCAGCAAGTATTATGTAATATAAATATTGAACAATACTGCTTTGAAATTTTGTTACACGTAATTATGGATAAATATCTGAAATACGATGTGTTGGTTGGTCGTGAAATCCTTAGCCAGGGCTTTGGAGTAACAATAGACGACGACAAATTCCAGATTTATAAAACAAAAAGGGTAGATGTTTTGAATGTAACTGATTACAGAGATATTATAAATGCTGATATTGATTTAGTCGAATCCGATAAAATGGCCTTATCAAATATCCTAAAGTGTTACTCTGATTGGTTTATCAGCGGTATTCCAAAAACTCGAGTCTCAACAGGGCAGTTAGAAATTAATTTAATAGATCCACTAAAGACAGTGCAACGACGTCCTTACAGGCTAAGCGAGGAAGACAAAAACCATGTGCGCTGTAAAATTGATGAATTATTGAAAGCAAATATTATTCGTCCAAGTTGCTCACCTTTCGCCAGCCCTATGATGTTGGTAAAGAAGAAAAACGGCACTGATCGTCTTTGTGTGGACTATAGGATATTAAATGAGAATACCGTTGCTGATAGGTATCCGTTGCCCCTTATCGCAGACCAGATTGCCAGGCCTCGCGGTGCCAAATATTTTTCGTGTTTAGATATGGCTAGTGGTTTCTATCAAATTCCAGTACATGAAAATTCAATAGAGCGAACCGCGTTTGTAACGCCAGAAGGGCAGTACGAGTTTTTGACCATGCCTTTTGGCTTGAAAAATGCACCTTCTGTGTTCCAGAGGGCCATAATAAGAGCATTAGGAACTCTAGCACACACATATGCTATCGTTTATATTGATGATGTGTTGGTTATAGCCGAAACCAAAGAAGAGGCGTTGGAACGGTTGCATACTGTACTCGAAACATTAAGTAATGCCGGATTTTCGTTTAATGTAACTAAGTGCTCCTTCCTTAAAACTCGTATAGAGTATCTGGGGTTCGAAATAAGTAACGGGGAAATTAGGCCAAACGCACGTAAGATAAAAGCATTGATTGATTTACCGCCTCCACAATCTGTGTCGCAGTTACGACAATTTATTGGATTGGCTTCATATTTCGTTCCAAAATTTTCAGAGACGCTTAAGCCTTTGTATCACCTAACGTCAAAGAAAATTGCAATTGTTGACACAGGCACCCGTTTTGATCATATTCGACCCGCAATACGCCATTGAGTTGCACACTGACGCCAGTTCAATTGGCTATGGAGCTATACTATTGCACAAAATTGACAACAAACCCCATGTCGTTGAGTATTTTAGTAAATGCACGTCTCCTGCCGAGTCAAAATATCATTCTTATGAATTAGAGACGCTAGCGGTAGTTAACGGTATCCGACATTTCCGCCATTACTTGCAGGGACGTAAATTTGTCGTATATACAGACTGCAATTCTTTGAAGGCTAGTCGCACAAAACTCGACTTAACGCCGAGGGTACATAGGTGGTGGGCATTTTTGCAATCGTTTGACTTTGACTTAGAGTACAGAAAGGGTGAACGAATGGCGCACGTAGATTGTCTATCTCGGAATCCAGTGCCTGAGAAAAATAATGATCAAAATAAAATACCTGAGGAAAATAGTGTTCAGAATAAAATACCTGAGAAATGAATAAATTTGACTGAGGTAACCGACAACTGGTTAATTTCGGAGCAACAGCGAGATAGTGAGATTTTAGATATATCAACTAAATTAAGAAATAATGAATTACCAGATAATTTAGATAAAACCTATGAATTACGAAAATGTATTTTGCATAGGAAAATACAGCGAAATGGCAAACCTAAATGTCTACCGGTAATTCCAAGGTCATTTAGATGGGCAATTATCAACCATGTCCACGAATCAATAATGCATTTGGGATGGGAAAAGACATTAGATAAGGTTTATAGCTATTATTGGTTTAAAAATATGTCAAAATATGTGCGTCGGTTCGTAGAGAATTGTATCACTTGTAAACTATCGAAGCCACCCGTAGGTAAAGTGCAGGCAGAGTTACATTCTATTCCCAAAATAGATATACCGTGGCACACGGTACATATTGACATAACAGGAAAATTGAGTGGTAAAAATGACTTAAAAGAATACGTTATTGTCTTAATAGACGCATTTACAAAATTTGTTTATTTTTACCACACTTTGAAAATAGATACGGAAAGTTGTATTAAGGCCGTAAGATCAGTTGTTTCCTTATTTGGCTTGCCTACCCGAATTATAGCGGATCAAGGTCGTTGTTTTGCTTACTACTCTTACTACTCATAGATGAAAAAGTTGATGACAAAATAGACAGAGAAAATCTAAGAAAAAAAGCCAAACAAAATATGGAAGACGGCGCACGATATGATAAGCGCAGGTTTGATAGTAATAAGTCGAAAATTATTAAACATAGTTTAGGCGATCACGTATTGATTAAGAATGAGGAGCGTCATCAAACTGAGCTTGACCCTAAATTTAAAGGGCCGTTTGAGATTGTCAAAATACTAGATGGAGATAGATATCTGTTAAAGTCCTTAACAAGTAAGCGAACTTACAAATACTCCCATGAATTCTTAAGAGCTTTGCCGAATAATGATCTAATACGCGAAGATAGGGACGGCACGATGGAAGATGCGTCTGACAATCAAGAAAGAGAATCATAAAAAAAAATAAAGTGTTAAAGGAACTACACTAAAGTTATTGTAATGTGTTAAAGGAACTACACAAATGTTAAAAAGTGTTAAAGGAATTACACTAAAGTTATTGTAATGTGTAAAAGGAACTACACAAATGTTAAAAAGTGTTAAAGGAATTACACTAAAGTTATTGTAATGTGTTAAGGGAACTACACAAAAGTTAAAAAGTGTTAAAGGAACTACACTAATGTTATATTGTAAGATGTGTTACAGGAATTACACAATTGTTAAAATGTGTCAAAGGAAATGCACAAATGTTTTATTTTACAAAAGAGAATAATGTTATAAAAGAATAACTAAATGAATTAATAAGATTATGTTTAATTGAAGAAATGTAATGAATACAGAAGATTTGATATTTATATAAGTGATTTTTATATTGAAAGCTAAACACACGAGGACGTGTGATAGGTCAGAATGCCGTGTCGTAGTGTGATTCCCAGTTAATGTAGCATTCTGGTAATTTGGGAATTCGGGGAATTCCCTGCTTCTGCTTCACTCGTTGATATTGAGCAAATGCACGGCAGCAGAGGCAGAGACGCTCTGCTGCTGAGTGAGGTCCGATGGTAAGATACCAAGAGTCTTGAGTAAGACAGAGATGGCTGCATACGCTCAACTTGAGTGAGTTTATGACGTGAGCGCTTATGCTGAGTTAGTTGAACTTGGGTATTCGAACCGATCGGAACTCTCTGTGTAACTGCAAGAATCTATAACAGTATCAGCATGAATAACATACCCTTGCCGCCGACCGACATACCTCCGCCCCCGACATACGTATTTAAGAGATGGCACTGTAACTTGCCACAAGTTTTCATTGGACCAAACCCACTCTAACGCCGACAAACCGCGAAAAACTGTGGCGTCCATAATATTATCAATCTCTATCGATTTACCAATGAACATTTCGCTATTTATGAAGAAATCTAGGTTATAAGGCTTCACGTGGAATGTGACGTAATTATCAGTTACTCAACATACTCTCTGTGACAATAGGTGGCGCTTTGTGAATTTCCACTAGCAAAATGAATATTTTAAAATTGCATAAAACAATAACGGGTATCTTATAGTCGCGGCACTTGACTATGGCGTTTCTTCTTGTTTTTTTTTTCAAAAAGATATGAAGTCTAATTTTAAATGAATAATCTGCCCTTTGGAATTTCTGCAATAGCATTACGATAACTTGAACAGTCCGAGGATCTGTTGCGAGTATCCAATTGTTCTAGTTCTTAAAAATAAATTCGAGCTTTATGGTTTTTATATTAAAAAACAGATTTTAATGTAAAACCAAACTAAAGAAATAATTAATCTGATTAAATATTTTTTCAGTTATGATGAAATTTGATCAACGTGTGGGTGCAGCAGTTGGAGCTCTTTCAAATAACTTTAATAAAGATGTTGATGAAAATGACTTTATAGATGCGTCACGCCTGGTGTATGATGGAGTCAGAGAAATTCGAAGAGCTGTTTTAATGAACAGAGTAAGTAAAGATTTTTTGAAATATTTTTACTTAAAATATTTTTGCATCCATAAGTCACATAAGTAAAGGTTATAATGCACTCGTTAAAAAGTATGTAACAGGAGAGTGGAAGAAGTAAAAACAAGAGGAAACGCTATAGTCGAGTGCCGCGACCATAAGATACCCGTTACTGTTTTACAAAATTTTAAAATATTATTTTGCTAGTGGAAATTCACAAGGCGCCACCTATTGTCAGAGGAAGTATGTTGAATATGCTTATAGTGACGTCACTGCCCATGTGAGGCCTTATAACTTAATTTCTTTATAAATAGCGAAATAATGTTCCGATTTGAAAAATCGTTGGTAAATCGATAGGTATTAACAGAAATAAGTTACACAAGGTCAAACGAAGGCATTCATAATAATATTATAGACGCCACAGTTTTCCGCGGTTTGTGGGCGTCAGAGTAGGCTTGGCCGGATGCAACTTCGTGGAAAGTTGCAAAGGCATCTCTTTAATACGTGATCCTAAACAAAATTATGTAGCTCTTATAGTTTTTGAGATTTTTGCATTTTTGGTTGTTCAGGTTTTGTGGGCGTTAGAGTGGGCGTGGCTTGATCGAAAAAAAACAATTCGCATTGGGAGCATAATAGAAGCCTACATGCTTAATCCGAACTTTCTATCTCTTATAGTTACCGAGATATCAGCTTTTCTAGAAAATCCGAAAACCGTCTTTTGAGCCTTGTGGGCGTATGGGTGGGTGTGGCCGGATAGTAGTACCACTAAAGGATGCGCTGCCATTTAAAGATTATACTTTTTGAATTTCAACTTTCTAACTGGCATAGTTCCTGAGATTTCAGCAATTTTAGTTTTTGGCGAATTGTGGGAGTTAGAGTGGGCGTGGCAGGATGCTGTAATAAACTTGCGCTGTCCCGGGACCTCAAGAATCTTCATGCTTAATCTCAACTTTGTATCTGCTATAGTTCCTGAGATCTCAGCGTTCATACGGACGGACGGACGGACGGACGGACGGACGGACGGACGGACGGACGGACAGACGGACATGGCTCAATCGACTTCGCTATTGATCCTGATCAAGAATATATACACTTTATAGGGTCGCAAAAGCTTCCTTCTATCTGTTACATACTTTTCAACGAATCTAGTATACCCTTTTACTCTACGAGTAACGGGTATAAAAACACCTAATGAATTAAAATAATTCTAATAATTTGCTATGGTAGATGTTTACGATACTATACACATTTTTTGTTATTGCTCAGCTTTTTGCTTTTAAACATTTTTAATAACCAAATAAATTAAAAAAAAATAAATTAAAATTTGTTATTATTGTGATGAAATTGGGTGAACATTTTATTTTCAGTTGCTTTATGATGTATTGCTAACTTTTCTATTATATATATATAATAGTTTTCTTCTTGTCTTTAAAACAGAATCAAATTCATAATTTAATGTAAACATTCATATTATGTCTAAAATAAAAAAAAAATTATATTTATTTTATATTAGTAAATTTTGTGTGTTATAGAGCTCTGAAGACCTTGACACTGACACTGAATTCGAACCAGTTGAAGACTTGACCTTAGAAACTAGAAGCCGATGTAAGTAAATAATTATTACCATAATATATACAATACAATATTTAACCATACAAGTATTTAACCAAAAGTAAAAATGTTAAAAGTAAAGTTCTAACCAAAATTTTAACCTTAATATTAAGTTTTTATTGTTTGGTTTACTTACGGTAGAGTGGATATAGCCTCATAAAACAACCGTCAGCGCAGCGCAGGGTTTTCTCTAGAGTCTTCATGCCTTACTATACTTCTGTACTGTAATATATAGGGTACAAAATAATAAATATGGACTATAAGCATTAAATAGTTCGGAAAGATTTATTAATTATGTTTCTAATGGTTGAAAGGGAGTAGAAGGTGTTATTTGTGTTAATAATTAGTGGTTATGGTAGATCCACCTTTTCTGTAAAGGTTTTTTGATCTGTTTTAAATTAGAGGTGGAGGAGACGAGTTTTAATTGGGTTAGGTACAGTGTCAATCAGTGTAAAGTTTGCGATTATTTAGTTTTTAAAAAAGTAATTTTCTTAAACTTACGTTGTTTCAATTTTGTATAATTTTTTTGGGGATATAATACTTACTTTTGATTTTGTTTTTAGGTGCTTTTAGCAAAAGGTCAGCTTTACAAGGGCTTTAATTTAGTACGTTTTATAATTTCATAATTAAAATGGGGGACTTCGGGCGATGTTGAATGGGCCTACACCGTTGTTCCTGCATTCAGAAAAGTGATATAATTGGCTTAAGAAACTGTAGTGGAGTTCTAAGAATAGACATTTTTTTTCTTCTAAAATAAAACGTTATGATTGAGTTTGTAAGTTATACCATACCAGACTTTATGCTTCTAACGGTTACCTTTTACACGCTGGTGTAAACTGAAATGAGTCTGTCGAATTTAGCAGCGTCTTTGGAAAGCGTTTTTTGGAAAGTAAGGATATTATTGAAACGTTCCTTATTTATCTCTTGTATATAGTTTACCTCGCTTAAAAACTTTTCAAAGAAAAATCTGCCCGTCTGCACCATTTTTACTGTAACTAGTTTATATTAGGTACGAAATTAACAAAAATGGGTTAAGTTTCTCTTGACGTACACTCCGGACCATCGCTGCCAAATCCTGTGCTTGACACACAAGACATTGCCGAAAGCAGGTTGGGCTGATCTGGTCCTGGAGCTACGACGTTGGCGGCTACGACAGCGGGCCGCCGATCAGGTGATGTACGGGGGTTAAGGCTTCGCCGTCGCTGCGATCGCTGCTTAGCACTTCGATGGACCTCGAGTTCGAGCTACTCTGCGGTCAAGAGGTCGTTGCCGACCGTCCGAGGGAACAGGTGCTTTGCAGACATCACACATGCTTCCCAGTCACCGCCGATGTGAGGTATTAAAAGGGCGAAGAGCTTAAACAAGTTTCCCATTATTTGCGTCAAGAGTTGCAGCTTGCTTCGAACGCAACGCATGCACGAACGAACAGTTCGGTGACATACTTCTTGAGCACTGACTAACCATACTTTTTCTCGCAGAAGGCTTACAAGAGCTCAAGGACCAGCGTTACAGCTTGTAACGTGCAGGTATGACACGTAACTTAACGAACTGCGAGCCGTTCGATAGCGACAATGGAGATTTGGCTTCGTACAGGATAGGAGCATTCAATAACCGACCACCAACTCACAACAACGTCGAGGAGCACCAATCTAATATATATTGCTGCACAAAAGGATTAAACTCCTGAATATTCGGCGATACCGGTCTCTGTTTCCGAATTGTGCCTATGTCGTCACTGAATTCGTGCGATTGGATAACTTCTGCAGTATTTTCGAGTGCAAAATTCTGTGAAATTTGCACTTTCGAATGATTCGGAAACCCCACACGAAAGCTCCCAGAAGCTTCAAATGCGACGAAAATGACTTTTTTTTCATTAGGCTCTGTTGTAGCGATAAAATTTCACGCCGACTTGCGTAAATCGGTAGAAACAACTTCTGAAGCTGGTTCGAAGTGTGAATTTACTTGAATTTCTGAGTATATATATCCGCTGGGTTTACTTTTGTAGGGACGTGTCGTCAAATTACAACGACCAAGGATGGCATTTAATCCAACGCAGTATGATCTCGGAGTCAGTCCATAGAACAACTTAATTTAACAACTTAATTAAAAGGTGAGCTGCACACAGTTGAAAGCGAGGCAAAGTTTTTGTCTTGAGGGGAGCTACTTTTCATTTAGCTTTAAACCAAGAGCAGTTTGAGTGCAAACGTAGATGGACGGTCCATATGCTTGTATGGCAGCGTCAGCGAAACCGTGTATCTCAATCGGGACTTGCGGATCTGTGTGAACGAATCGTGACCCCATGACTTTGAACAGTTGGAGAAGAGTTGCCTTAAGGGCTTTCCACAACGAATGGCATTGCATTGGTAGCTACTCGTCGAAATCAATTTTTGAAGCCACCGCTCCTGTAAAAGCATTTTCGCCTTTATGACTAAAGGACACAATAGGCCCAACGGATCGAAAAGCCGCGCAGTCACCAAGAGTATGTTTCTTTTTGTCGTACAAAGATCCAAGAAAGTGTCATCCAAACAAAATTGAATGTAATCTTTGCCAGGTAACCAAACCACTCTAAGGGTTTTAGTTACATCTGAGTCAGGGAATAATGGCATAACAGCGCTATCAGATGCGAAGATCTTTGGGCAGTTTGAAAACCACCTTGACAATTCGAAACCTGCCTCATGCAAAAAATTATAATTTTTTATAACAGTGTGACGAAATTGAACCTCTGTGCAATTCCCTATTTAATGTTCTGCTGAGGTGCAAAACACACATAAGGCAGGGTCGTTCCTGGCAGCGACCAACGAAAAACTTTTATTTCCACTCTTCTTCGTAGACGTATTGTTAGGCTGAATATGTAAAACTCTTCGGCGACCATGTGCTGCTATCGTCTATCCAAAGTCGTGTCACATTCTCTCCAAAGGGGAAGCGAAATATAGTCTAACTGTTCTTCCCTCATTCTCTTCGTTCCTGCATCGATTTTGCTCACGATATTAGATGATTGAATTTTTCAATATCGTCCAGAGTGTCATCTTTGTCGACAAATGTTTCGAAAAGGGTTAAAAAATACGCATTGCTGTCCGCTGAAGATTGGAAGAGAACCGCTCGGTAAATGGCATTGAGAAATGCGCTTCTTTGGCGGAGCCGCATCATACGCCTGCCTCTGTTTATTAGCGAAATCTGTGCCGATCTTTTCGAATTTTTGGTTTTTCGGGTTTTGTGGGCGTGAAGTAATCGGAAAAAGAAAATTCGCATTGTAGGCATCATAAAAACCTACATGCCTAATCCGAACTTTCTATAACTTATAATTACCGAGAATCAGCTTTTCTAAAAAATGCGAAAACCGTCTTTTGAGCTTGGTGGTAAGAGTAGGTGTGGCCGGATAATGGTAGCACTATAAGATGGTAAGATCAACTTTTTAGTTCTAATAGTTCCTGAGATTTATGCGATTTTAGTTTTTCGTGATTTGTGGGCGTTAGAGTGGGCGTGACAGGATACTAAAATAAACTTGCGCTGCGTATGGACCTCAAAAATCTTCTTGCTTAATCTCAACTTTGTATCTCTCTTAGTTCCTGAGATTTCGGCGTCGAATATATAAGCGGGATGCAAAGTCTCAAGAAAATAGCGTCGGGGCTAGGATACCGCAAATGTAGGAAAGAAAATGCCCGCAAAAATGTCCCTCAATTTTCTCCGAGCAACGGGTTAAAAAGAAATGAAATAAATCACTTTTTTGTGGCTTGAAATTGCTCAGTACGATAAGTAGGGGAATTAAAGAACAAGTTGGGTCCACGACGAAATTAAATTGAACTCCAAAATCGATTCACTTTTTTTCTTTTAATATTTATCTGGCAGGTAATAAACATATAATAAATATATAAAGTAATTTCTTAGTGCATGCAAACTTACTTTGTGTTAACTTATTGGCTGGAATGCTCACTATCTACTGATTTTAAACGAATGCAAAAAGGTCAAAAATAGGCCGAAATAGAAAAAGCCACAGATTAACTTTCTATTTTAAACATTCTATACCTGTATATCAGTATTGTATGTGTTTAGATTTTCCTGCTGGGCTTCTGGTTCTGGCTTTTGGCTGCTGCGTAATTTTGACCGTCACGGACATTTATGTTGTTTATGAAATTAATACAGAACAAGAGGAAATGCTATAGTCGAGTGCCGCGACTATAAGATACCCGTTACTGTTTTACAAATTTTTAAAATATTATTTTGGTAATGGAAATTCACAAGGCGGCACCTATTGTCAGAGAAAGTATGTTGAGTATGCTTATAGTGACGGCACTGCCCATGTGAGGCCTTATAACCTTAATTTCTTTATAAATAGCGAAATAATGTTCCGATTTGAAAAATCTTTGGTAAATTGATAGATATTAACAGTAATAAGATACGCAAGGCCAAACGAAGGCATTCATAATAATATTATAGACGCCACAGTTTTCCGCGGTTTGTGGGCGTGGCCGTATGAAACTTCGTGGCTTTGGTTAAGTTTTAGGACTTGGCGAAGGACACAGTATGTTGCGATTGATAAGGAGTTCTGATTATAACTATTTTATTCACTTAAATTATCTTGTTCTATGAACAGATATGAAGACAAAGACGAGAGAGGGAGAGCGGCGGCCGAATTCCCCTGGGCGACGAGCTTTATTGGGTCCCGTTCCCTCTTCACACTTAAAGAAACCTATCCAAGAAAGAACATAGAGTTTGAATGCAAGTAATGAGACCTTTTTAAATCTGGTGGAAAAAAATCTCAGGAAATATAGGATATAGAAAGTTAAGGATGCATATTCATGCTTATACCAGCACTCGTAGACTGAAAGGTGTGATGTATTCGTTGAAATATATGTAAGCGGTAGAACAAAGCTATTTCGACCCCATAAAGTTTATATATTTTTAATGAATAGCTGAACCAATTTTACACAGTCCGTCTGTTCGTATGAGCGCTGAGATTTCAAGAACTATAAGGGACACAATTTAGTTAGTAAGCATGCAGACTTTTGAGATGATGATACCGCCTACAAGACACGAAACACCGAAAACTTAGGTCTCAGGAACTACAAGAAGGAACTGCATCGAAAAATTAAAAACGCTGAGATTTCATGTAGTATAAGAGAAGTATAAGGTGGTTTCAACATCCATCATTTCATCATTATAACACCCATAATATTAAAATGTATGTCCTGATTTGATCTAATTTTTAATTAGATCATTGCACAGACGGCACAGTCTTTGTTTTTGTTTTTTGTTAAACTCGTTTTTTCTGACAAATGGTGACTCTAATAAAATGATTTTCTGTGTGAATATTTGCTAGCAAAATGTATATAAACAAATTTGACAACACAATAAGGGGCACTAGTAGCGGCACTCAAACAAATGGATTTTTGCAACTCAAAATCCAATCGAACTTAAATCCGTTGCGCAATAGACAATCATTTACCATGATCCTGAAAGGATGCTCTGGGTACATTAGCTTAAAAACTATTTGCACAATAAAGAGTGCATTGTATTTCTTGTTTAGTCACTTTGGCAACATAAGGCACTAAAAAAGATAATCAAAAGACTACATTTTTAAAACATCCGAAAAAACGAATAGTTTTCTAACTTTTCTATATTTCAGCGAGTGCCCATACTGGAGACCAAACAGTTGACGAATATCCAGACATAAGTGGAATATGTACAGCTCGAGTAGGTCAAATTACAAAATGAAATCAATTATATGTTCCTAATAAGATTATTATTTCAGGAAGCCATGAGAAAAATGACAGAAGAAGATAAACAAAAAATTGCTCAACAGGTTGAGTTATTCCGTAAAGAGAAACTTACATTTGATTCAGAAGTTGCTAAGTGGGATGATACCGGAAATGATATTATTTTTTTGGCTAAACATATGTGTATGATTATGATGGAAATGACCGACTTTACAAGGTAAATTATAAATTAAACTATTTGTTTTGGTATAGAAAGCTCGCCAATTCCAAAAATTTGTAAATTTGTGTCTAACAACTTAAAGTAAAATATATTTGTACTAGTTATTTGCATGGTAAATTATATTTTTTTCGTTTCCGATCTTTTAGTATTTATTTATATGTATATCGACGCACTGACGCCAGCAGTCACAACTAAGGTGACATCGGTAATTGCCGTTGTATATTAGTTGAAATAATTGCTTTGGCGAAACCTCTTTGACTATTGAACATAGAGTTGCTTGAAATAAGGCGCAAAACAAATAATCTGTTTTTAGCTATGTGCATGCCAAATTTTATTTCGTTTACCTTCTCTTCCTGCTGATTGGAATGCATGCACATGCGTAGCACAAGTATTTTAACAGCATCTATATAGAAATTTTTTCACACTATTAAGCACGCAAAAATCAAAAAACGGAAAATAACAGTATCGTTGCATAAAACCTGAGAAGCGACAATTTCTGAGATCGCTTCTTTTTGGAAAGAGATATATCCAGAAATCATCCAAAATTTAATCGATTCAGTACTGCGACACCTGCAAAAAGTTATTGTAACCAAGTAAATTGCATATTTTACTACATTCGGTTTTCCTTTCTATTTTTAAGTTTAAACTTATTCATATTAAAAGGTACTTGTCAAAATACTGATGCCATCACTTGAACATTGCTTAAGCTCATATATTTTTTTAATTCATATGACAAAATGGTGAATTCATTATTTTTCTTTACTACTAGTAGAGTAAAAGGGTATACTAGATTCGTTGAAAAGTATGTAAACGAACCTATAAAGTATATATATTCTTGATCAGGATCAATAGCGATGTCGATTGAGCCATGTCCGTCTGTCCGTCCGTCCGTATGAACGCTGCGATCTCAGGAACTATAAGAGATACAAAGTTTAAATTAAGCATGAAGATTCTTGAGGTCCCTACGTGGCATCCTGCCACGCCCACTCTAACGCCCACAAATCAGGAAAAACTAAAATCGCTGAGATCTCAGGAACTAAAAGAGCTAGAAAGTTGAAATTTAATATGTATAATCTTTAGATGCCAGCGCATCTTATGGTGGTACTATCCGGCCACACCCACCCATACGCCCACCAAGCTCAAATGACGGTTTTCGCATTTTCTAGAAAAGCTGATATCTCGGTAACTATAAGTAAAACCCGAAAAACCAAAAATGCGAAACCCTCGGGAACTATTAAACTTATAAGGTTGTGCTTAAGAATACGTATTTAGTAGATGCTACTGCTACTTGCACCTAGTTTTCATCTCGCCACGCCCACTCTAACTTCCACAAACCGCGGAAAACTCTTATTTCTGTTAGTCTCTATCGATTTACCAATTTTTCAAATCGGAACATTATTTCTCCGACTTGAGGTGGCGCTTGGGGAATTTCGACTAGCAAAATTAATATTTTAGAATTGTTTAAAACAGTAACGGGTATCTTACAGTCGCGGCCCTCGACTATAGAGTTTCCTCTTGTTAAGTTTGCACTTGAAAAGTTACATAAGAATTTGCACCATTTAATTTTTGTCAAAATATAGTGCCGACTTAAGTATTAATCACAACAACAACCACTTCAACGTCGTCGTCTACTCGACAGCAAATTCTCTCACTACAAAGTTTCTCTCTTAAAAACTGCACTGCTAAATGTGCCCTCTTACAGTCCGGGACCGACCGGTTTAAGTAAATCGAAAAAATATTGGGGAAGGTCTGTAGGAATTGGGTTTCGAAGTTAAACTTGTTATAAATTTGGTTAACAGGGCAAAAATCGGGTCGCCATAGTGCAAACTAGCGCCCAAGAGCACAAACCCCTTCTCCTTCTTCATCGAATTCTCGTAGAGGAGCATCATAAAAGAAAAAATTGAGTGCTGAAATTTCCGGGAATATGGGCATACGATAGTTACGGCACTCTACGCCCAGTCAGCGTTGCTTGCGGTGACCTTCACAACACAAAAATATGCCCACAAGATAAAGAAGATTCTGCACTAAAGTGTAGCAGTTGTGGTGGAAACTACACTTCCAAAAGATCTCAAGAGTCGGCTAAGCCAAAACATATTCAAACAGCTACTGCCTAGCGTGCCACCCAACCAAATTGTTCTTCATCTTTCACGACCATATCTGGAGTCTCCGTTACAAATGTCTTTCGATACCCAACAGTGATCGATGCTATCACAATTCCAAATTATCCACCTTTGCTCAGTCAACAAGACAAAAGACTTACAAGCACCGTAAGGACACTACTCTAGCTACGCTAGAAGTTAAAATTTGTTTTACCTGGAAAGCCTACCTACTGGCCAGCAGATTCGTGAAAACTTCTAGACATTATTGACTTCGCTATAACAAGAGTGCATCTAAACGTAATACGCACCGAAACGTTTTTGACCAGCCACAGCTTAAGATACAAACCCCATTCTTACGTATATGTTTCAATTTAACAGTTTAAGAAATGTCTGCCAGTTTCGTTTTTAGAGCGTTGCGTTGTTTAGAGCTAGAACTGCCAACAATAGGAATGCAGAGCTGCAATCCCCTTATGGCACAGCTGATCAGAGCTGCCAACTTTAATCTAATATGGCTTGCACATCAATTTTTCAAATTTTTAATTTTCACGAATTTATTTTTGATAATGAATCTAAACACACCCGGAGCAGCACGTACAAAAAATGTCATCACAATAGTTCAGCCGTTTAAGATTCTTTAAAAGACATACTTGATTACATTTACATACACGATTACATTTTCTTTAAAATCTTCAAAAACATTTCGTCGCCGGGTGGAATTAATATTGTTCTCAAATAGTTTTGTCGGATCGAACTTCTTAGATTAAAAATTTTTGGTAATGTACTACTTTCAAAATTGGTTTTAAAAATATCAAAGAAGATATATCTAAGAATATTATACAATACCTCGTCATTATTAATGACTTGATAGTAGTTGTGGCAAAGTTTTTTTTTACAAGCTGCTTTTAACGCGAATTGAACAAAATGGCAGAAGCATCTAATCAAAATAAAGGTCGGACACTTTTGTTATTACCCATCATCACACTTGCAATTTTTAATTGGTATTTTGTACTTATTAAGTTTAGCTAACGCTATAAGCTATCAAAAAAAAACAAAATGAAATCTAAAAACCAAGCCAATAATTAGTCCAACCGGTAAACCAAAGCCACGAAAGACAAAAACAGCAACAAGACCAGCGCCGACTCTCTGTTGCTAGGAACAATGCGTACGTGTCGTATGTCTTTCTGGAGCCAAAAAGAAGACGTCCGCTCTCTGACGCCCCGACTTTTGGAGCTCACAATGCCCTTCCCCCTCTCCCCAATCGACGCACTGACGTCAGCTTAGGCAATCTGTTTCTGCAATTACACTCTCCTCTGCAGTTCCTCTCCCAAAAACTACACGGCTTCAATTTCAAAATATTCATTTAACTAGTGGATATACACAGAGCGCCACATATTGTTAGAAAAAGCATGTTTACTAATTAATGGTGACGTCACTGCCTCTGTGAGCCCGTATTACCTTTGAGCTTGGAGGGCGTAAGAGTGGATGTGGTATCACCTTAAGATGGGCTTGCATCTCAATATTTTAAATACTGAATTTCAACTTTCAAGGTCTAATAGTTCCTGAGATTTCAGCAATTTTAGTTTTTCGTGATTTGTGGGCGCTAGAAAAAAAAAGTTGCGCAGCGTATCTCTCTTATAGTTCCTGAGATATCAGCGTTCATACGGACATGGCTAAATCGACTTCGCTATTGATCCTGATCAAGAATATATATATGACCTTTATGGTGTCGGAAAAGCTTCCTTCTATCTGTTTCATCCTTTTCAACTATACTACATTAGTTGAACTATTATGACTATTATTGACTATTATATACTAGTATTTTATTCTACGAGTAACGGGTATAAAAAGGGAACCTTCCAAGAAACAAAACTGAAGGTCAACAATGAAGAAGATTTAGATAGATCGTAAAGCAGCAAGGGCCCTGAAGTAGTTATAACAGTAATAAAGCGTATTGTCCCGGTAGTTTACATTGTGGAAAGTCTAAAGGAAGAGAGTTTCGCAGTCAAGCTTGTTACGAACATGGTTAACAGGGCAAAAACATCACAATCAAAAAACCACAATTGCTAAACTTCTTCTTTGTTTTCTGCCCATTCTTTTGTGATGCAAAGGTTACCGCGAGCAACGCAGACTTTGCAGACTGAAAGAAGTAATGATCTGTTTTTATACCCGTTCCTCGTAAAGTAAAGGGGTATAGTAGATTCATTAAAAAATAATTATCCGTCTGTCCGTATAAAGGCTGAGATCTCAGAAACTAAAAGAGATATAGAGTTATGATTAGGCAGGCAGATTCTTGAGGCCCATACGCAGCAGTTTATTTCAGCATCTTGCTTTGTATGCCTTTAAATCCCCTTCTCAACAACTAATAGTATATATATATAAATTAATTTAATACCGACCTTTATTGTATTATTTCACTCAAGCCCGTTGGGGCAAGGATCCATTAATAAACCTGTTAAGGTAAAGGATAATATAAACAGAGTGATATAATTGATATAATTATTTATTACGCAGCTATGGCTGCGGAGTGTGATTTAAAACTTTTCCCCTAAACCTGTTAAGGTAAGGGATAGTTATGATTGGTTTTACATTATTAAATTATTACACATTTATTTCCCCTAAACCTGTTAAGGTCAAGGATAGCATAAATGGTTTTATAATAATTATTAATTACACAGCTATGGCTGCGGAGTACGATCTTAGATTAAACTAAATATCCGATCCGGCCGCAGCTAGAAGTCTTCGTCTGGTTGCAGCGCTGTCGCCAATGTGCCGGATCAGCATTTTTATCCAGGTGCTGACGATCACTCGCTGCGCGAGTGTTCTGGCCGGGAACTGTGGGATTGTCTCCAGAGTGCAGAGTTGACGATTTCCTTAATGCGCGTGTTGGCCACTTCTGAT